TACTAATTTGTATTTTCGATGTCTCGACCGAAAGAAAAAGAATTTTTGAGAACCAAAAAGAACAGACCTAGCATTATGCTTTAGTACCTATGATAAAAATTCTAGCCTTATATGTCAAATCGTTCTAGTCGAAACGCTGCCTCGAGGAAAAGTCAAAGCTGAAAAAAGTGACGCTGAGATATACCCTCTGAAAGAAAAATGTCATACTTTTGGGGCTCTCTGGAAAATCTGTCAGCTCTCCTATCCTCCGGTGAGTCTAAATAATGGGAAAACTCTGGAAACTAGGTCTACCCAGGCCTGTTAGTGGATGATATCACTACAACTTAGAATGTCGCTGCCAATGTTTATTTTTCGAACTGAACTTGTAAGAAAAACATGATCTATATATTATCTCACATGAAAAAATCTAGGTAGTGATGACATGAAAAACAGAAGTAAAAAGGATGATGAAATGACAGAAAAGAATGAATGAATAAACAAAAGAAGAATGAAAAAAGGAATAAAAAAAGAATGAACGAACAAAGAACAAGTGACCAAAAGAAATGATGAAATGCAACAGAAAGAGAACAAATAAAGGAAGAGAGAATGATATGTAAAGGAGATAACGGAGTGAATCTCTTCCTAACACTTCCCTTCCTATGCCAGATGAGTGCACATCTACTCATGGAAAAAAATTCTAACTCAAAACTCTGATTGTTCTGAACTGTGATTCGTGTTTCGTAGTATAACCCATGTTAATATAATCAATAAACTGCCATCTGTACATATTGATCCATATTGTTAACAACATTTTTCTCTGTCACTGAGTGTGAAGATTAATCAATAAACTTCCACTTATAATTATTATTTAATAAGAAAAATGCTGCTGTCAATAAAATGATAATAAATAGTGTGCATAATGAATCTAACATCGTTCATAATATGGTAACATGTTGTTGCTGTGGTGTTCTTGTTCATAATGTTCTTCTTCATGTTCAACAATATATTTGACGTCATTAAATTTGTGCATTATTCTAAACGGACCATGGAAACGTTGATCTAATTTTGATCTGCCT